GGTCTGCACACACAGACCAGCACTCGGGGGGTCTGCACACACTGGTCAACACTCAGGAGGGTCTGTACACACTGGTCAGCACTCAGGGGATCTGCACACACTGGTCAGCACTCTGAAGGTCTGTACACACTGGTCAGCACTTGGAGGGTACACACACCGATCAGCACTCAGAGGGTCCAACACTGATCAACACTTGAGGGTTCACACGTCAATTGGTGTGTGCCTGTGCTCTTTTGATGCCGATCCGTACGTGCAGACCCTCTGAGAGTTATTGAAGTCCAACTCAGAATCAGACAGAGACTTACCTAGTGCATTCTTTGGGGGATCTGAAGGTAAAATGACCTCATGACGCCCAAAGAAAAAATTACCAATAAAATTCAAGTTTTTGTTCTGCTATTTTAGCACAAATCAGAACTACCGCAAAATGTTTTATGAAAATTAACAGAGAAATGATATTTCAAATGAAAAGGTAAATTTCAATTTAAATAGTTGATATAACAAATATATCTCTTTCACAACCACAGTCACCCACTTTCAACATTTGGCATTATACCACTACACAATTTCACAACATGATATTCTATAAACCCTCTTCTCCCTTGGGTCACGATATGGAGGTGCCGGCGTTGGACTGGGGTGGGCAAGGTCAGAAATCACACGATACCAGGTTATGGTCCAACACGTTTATTTCAAAACGCAAGCTTTCGGCTAACACGTGAAGAAGGACTGAGGCGCCGAAAGCTCGTGTTTTCAAATAAACCTGTTGGACTATAACCTGGTGTGGTGTGATTTCTGCCCTTGGGTCACAACAGTCCTAATGGTGTAGCTTTCTAGATTTCCCTTTGAACGAATTAACAGAACCCTGGTTTATGATTTTACCACTTCTGATCCTTAGCGACTCTGAACTATTCATACAGCTTTCCAGGCTTTAGACCTATTTTAGCTGGCGTATCGCCTCAAACAGTTCGTTTTTTTTTGCTGAACAGAAAAACTTACCTCTTTCAGAGAGGGATTTGCTTCTTCTCATCAAAATAATTCTGTGTATTCCTCTTTTTGTCTCTGACTGGTTTCTGTTTGTGTCTGTATCTAGGTGTTGACTGCCTTCACCTTCCAGCTCTCTTGCTTGTAATTCTTTTTTGTGTCTGTCAGCCACAGAGCATTGGTATCTTACTTCCTGTTGGGAGTGCTTCTAAGTCAAAGGAAACATGGATCAATAATTATTATCCAAGAAAATTACTATTGATTCTTTCACAATTGATTTAAACCCTTTCGAGACGTTTTTCAACCATCCTTACATTCAACCAAAGATTTCCCTTGATATGAAAGAAATTACAAATTTACTGTATTGTCTCTAGCTTTCTGGGTAATAGGTCATCACATCAGTCTCCACTGGCATAAAGAATGCAAAAACCTAATGATTCTCAATGAAGAATTTCATTCTCATTTGTCTTAAATGAGAGATACCTTATTTATAACAATGACCCCTAATTGTAAATGTGGGGGGAGATATCCTTTTCCTTCTTCAGGTGTTAGCCGAGAGCTTGTGTTTTGAGATAGCCTGTGAAACTCTCCCTATGCTTCAATAAGATTACATCACAAGCTACGAAACTCCAATTACCAAATGCCAAATTTCCTCAACTTTTCCCATAAAGCAACCCTTTCATCTGAGGAATTAACCCAATGATTTCTGTTGCATGCATCTTTGAGCAAGGCAATCAAAACAGTATGCAGAACTCTAGGTCTAAACTCACCAAAATCCTGCACAGCTGTAGCGAGATATACTTCCTTGTATATTCCAAACCCTTGCAATAAAGACCTGTAATATAATACAGAAGATGTGTCTATGTGCTAACATTTTGTGATTCATGTACAAGGGCACCCAGTTCCCTGTACACTGCAGCAGTCTGCAGGCTCTTTCCACTTAAATGATATTCTACTCCTCTATTCCTCCTAACAAAACTGACAACTTTCTGTGAGGTCTGCATATCTCTTATTTGGATATAAACTGGAAAATGGAAGTGTGAACTGCTGTGTTGCAGAAAATAAACTAGCTTTTCTTTGCAACTCAAAATAAAAAAAAGGATAAGCAAACCCACATTAAATTTAAAAAGATAAAACAAAGTAATTTTGACTGGTAGATGCTGGCATTAAGAGTGAATACCACGTATTAGGCTCTCAGAGGAATAATTCTCTTAGAAGAATTTAAAAACTATCTTTAATAATTAGAACCCATTTGAACCACAGATTTGTAACTGAGACATGCAGCATGAATGGTTGAACTTTTCCATAAAACTGAAACTTTTTTCCATTTGCCCCAATAAACCAAAATGAATAAGTGGGAGCATGAAAGGAAGGCAAGTAGCCTGAGTGGAGAAGATACAGTTGGGAATACACTGAGATCTACTCCTCAAACCAGACATGAAGGTGCAGAAGTTGGAAGTGAGGGTCATTGTTCTAAGTGTTTCCATTGTAACAAAGTGGGACACCTTCATTCAGAATGCTGGAAATTGAATGGAAAGCCCATGGGACTTATTAGGGTTTGCAAAAGTGAGTCCAAGAGAGGAACTCAAAAGGAAAATGCAATGGACCAAATGTAACTTTAACTACAACTATGAAACCAAAGATAAACACTGCTGTGAGGTCAAGAGGGATGAACAAAGTAGATGAGAGATATCAAGAATTTTATTGTAAGGAAAAGTACCCCTTTTTTCTCAAATCATATAGCTAAACCCACACCCAAATTAAGGGATACAGGAGTTGCTCAAACTCATAAGCCTGAGAATGCCATGGTTTTCCTCCAGAAAGCTCATTGAAAACCATTTTTTTAAATAAACGGCATAAGTGCTATGTGCTATAATTAACTCCTTTCTCCAGGACAAAATATTTCAAACGTCTGTCTTCAACCAGAAATTTTGCAAACTGAAATCAAAAGCTTTCCAAGCTATGGATTTTTCCCGTAACCAAATGAAATCCCTCATCTTTCTAACTGAAAGCCAGCTAATGCACTTCAATATTTATTCTGTCTGCCAGTAAAACTGTCCCAATGAAAACAAAACTCACATTACAAATCCAGGCTGTCTTTCTCATACTGTTTCAAAAACAATTGTTCCATAAATACTGATAAATTAATCATTAAACCCTCTCATAGACATTGACAAAAATCCTATACGACACTACTTCAAAATCCAAACTCCAAAGTACATGACATTAAAATATATATAAATCACAGGTACTTTTCTAAGAAATTGAGCCAATATCAGAAGAAAGACTCTACAGTGGAAAATGAGACTCTAATATTGTTACTGGCTCTTAAATACTTCAAAATTTATGTCAGCCAGGACTACAAAGAAACTTTAATACACTTTGACTATAATTCCTTTGATTTTGTAGAGAATTTTAAAACTCAAAATGTGAGATTACACTTGTTAATTTAATCTTATCAGAATTGGTCGTATTGCTGGAAAGGGTAATGGAATTGCAGATATGTTATCAAGAATGTAATGATACTGAAATTGGTAGAACGTATGAGAACAGATGACAAGACATTGTACGTAAAGAATGAGTAAGCGTGATTGTGTGTTTGTATTTTGTTGAATATATGTCATGTGTACCTGGTAATGAAAATTTATTCAGAAATGGTGTTCCATCTCTCCAAGTGTGGAGGTCTGTAAGGACTGCAAATATTCTATTTTATATAGAAATATAAACTGGAAGATAGAAGTTTAGGCTACTGTGTTGCAGGGAATAAATTAAGTTTGTCTTTACAACTTCAAACTTTGGGTGGCACGGTGGCACAGTGGTTAGCACTGCTGCCTCACAGCACCAGGGATCTGGGTTGGATTCCAGCCTTGGGTGACTGTCTGTGTGGAGTTTGCACATTCTCCCCGTGTCTGCGTGGGTTTCCTCTGGGTGCTCTGGTTTCCTCCCACAGTCCAAAGGTGCGCAGGTTAGGTTGATTGCCCATGGTGTTCAGGGAGGTGTAGATTAGGTGGGTTATAGGGGGATGGGTCTGGATGGGATGCTCCGAGGTTTGGTGTGGACTTGTTGGGTCAAAGGGCCTGTTTCCACACTGTAGAGGTTCTATAATTCTATTCTATGAAACAAAAGTAGAATCATGTAGCATTCACTCATTGGACATACAGTGTGTGTAACTTTTGGAGAAGATGAATTTGCTACTTTTGTGAAGCTAGTGGGAACTAGGTGCCTTTAGTTGGAAAAGCATTTGCCCAGCAACAGATTTTGGATTGATTTTAAGAAGCTGTTTGTTACAGAATTGAGAGAAGAAGGCAAGGCACCTCAGACCTCCAAAAGATTGCAAGCAATCCAGGTCTCTGTCTCTCTTTCTCTGAGTAGAAAAGAAAAAACACTGAAAGGTTCTTCCAAAGAATAACTTCTATTTCAAGTCAAGACCTAAGTACAACCGACCAGCCACTGAATTGAGGATAATTGTGACCGACAATAATGTACCATTTTCAGCATGCTTGGGGCGGGGGATGGAGGTGGGGCTCACTGGACTTGGGGCGGAGATGGAGGCGGGTCTAAATGTCCTTGGGGCGGGGATGGAGGCGGGTCTGAATGGGTTTGGTGCGGGGCTGGAGCGGGTCTGACTGGGCTTGGGGCGGGGATAGAGGCGGGGTTGAATGGGTTTGGGCGGTTTTAGAGGCGGGGTTGAATGGGTTTGGGCGGGGATAGAGGCGGGGTTGAATGGGCTTGTGGCGGGATATAGAGGTGGGTTTGAATGGGTTTGTGGAGGGATATAGAGGTGGGTTTGAATGGGCTTGGGGCGGGATATAGAGGT